AATAATTACTTAGATGTAAACCATCTAACAACAGCCTTTCCGAATCCACGGGACTAGGCGCGTGCTGGTCATGGCGTTGCGGTGTCATGTTTTGATGACGTCACATCCGTGATTGTCAGTCCGCAATCCCTCTACAATAGCAGCGTATGTTCATAAGAAGAGCCGGTATGTGATACATCCTTGAAACCAATCCATCCTAGAGTAAATTGCGGTATCCCAAAAACACCTCTGTAAACGGCTCATGCCATTTCAAGATTTTTGAAAAACGTATTTGTGTCTAATAATAAAGTATAACATTATTTTTCTGTTTTGTTCTTAGTATTATTATGTGGAAATTAGATATTTGTTTATTTGGAGAATAACTACATTACATGTTATGGTTATAAACGTTATGGATTATTTCGCGGAAGATTAACATTGAGTGAACAGTCACCATCCATCGCGTTTACATTTTGTACTTTCACTTTTCCAACTATCGACGAGTTCTTGGGATACACGTTGATATACCGTGATGTCAGTGATAACTGATTGCTATTTGGCTACAATACTGACATAAAACTCACACGCAAATGATATGCTGATTGATAGCATAAAAAAACAACAGTTGTGTCCCTCCTTGATGATGTCAGGGATGTCACCATACTTTTGCACTACGTTGAACTTTGACTCTGACCGCGAGGTCAACTATTTGTAACCCGTGAGCCGTTTACAGAGGTGTATTGTGACATAAGGAACGACACCTCTGGTAGAGATTGCCTTGAAACGTCAGACCCGGGAAATTTCCCAGATGTTAGTCTTGCCCACCGCTCATTTCATGGATAAAGCAGAGGGTTCGCTGACAATACACGTTCCGGACGGTCGTCATTGCGATCTCTTCTAATTACGTTACGATCTGTACGTCGGGGTCGAACATCATGTAACGGCGATGGCAAAGGTCTACTTTTTGTCCACTCCAAGCCTCTTGATTGAGTTTGGCGACCTTTTTTGCCGGACAAGAACATATTGAACATTTGCATTCGCATGTTCTTGGCAGTAGCATTCACACTGGACTGAGAGCTGAGATTGGGTTGTGGAGGGTTGAAGTTGGAAATATAGTGCTGAAAGATGGAAATTTCAGTTGAATTGGATAAGAATTCCATCATGCATTTTTTAGTGACAAAGATTTATAATAAAACATATTTTCGCCACCACCGTGAAAAATGATAAGATTAGTACATCTCACCGCAACCGTGAAATAAGACATATACCCCTATGGAATCACTGGGTCACCAGTAAAGACATTCACATAAAAAGGCAACGTGATAGATGCCCAAGTACTACGCAACAAATCTCCTCAATATATAGCTTGAAATACAGTCAATCATTGCAAATGCAGCTGGTCAAATCACCGAGACAATAAGATTACTAGAACAAAGACGAGTTCAATACACCATGCCAAATAATACTGTTTAATACTCATGTTTTACTATACTAATCTAAATACTCGTCACAATATTCAAATTATCGGATAACTGTACCACCTTCACTCTAGAGTATTCTGTCCTCTAATAAATTTTGTGTTCTAGACAGACATGGTGGTTTGACGAAGTTGAGGATTGAATCTTGCTTATGTCGATTTCATGGGATGATGAATTGAGTTGGTCTTGAGACAAATTTAATGAACTGCGAAGAAATATGAGGATTGAATCTTGCTTATGACGATTTCATGGGATGATGAATTGAGTTGGTCTTGAGACAAATCTAATGAACTACGAAGCGGTTCATGTTGAATTTGTCTAAAGACCAACTCAATTCATCATCCCATGAAATCGACATAGGCAAAATTCAATCCTTATATTTCAATTCACGTTTCTTTTTTCTATATCATGGGAACTGACGCAATTTATCTTCTACTTTTATTTTCGTGTATTGTCATCATATCGTTTGACGTCATACAAGCAAATAGTCCGTCATTTGAAGGCAGATTATTGTAACAGGTTGAAAGATATTTCAGTGTGGAAACTTAAATAAGAACAAAATTTAATATATTTTTCGACAACTTTAAGGAAATTTAAATAATACTATGCGACAAAGACAGTATGCATTATTTCCCCGTGGAGTAATAACGTCTAGACGTGGTGCGCCGGTTCGCAAACGAAGCGGCGTCGGCCTTTTTTTTCTACAGACACCGAAGAGGACAAAAAGAAATATCAGGCTTCAATCGCTTCCCATTTTTTGAAACGTAAAGTTACAATTATTAAATGTTGAATACACATTTTTTTTTATTTTATTAATAGTTTTAAATTCTTATTTTGATGTTTTTAAATTTCATACTTGTGGTATATTGTCAGTCTAGTAGAAGTTGGGGAGTTTTCTCCCCTTACCTAATTTGTATTCATAAGCACTGGCAATGTTAATCTGGTCAAATTCATCGGTAAACGAAACAGATCACATTTAGTAGTTTCATGGAGTCTGATTTAGGTAGAAATTGAAATATTACTTTTTAAAGGTGTTAGACTTTTTCCACAATCATTTAGATATGTTTGTTATAGATATGTATCAGAACGTTACCAACAACGAGTTTTCCAACCTGGTCAAACAATATATCTATAACGGAAGGAACGAAGTGTTATTTCTAAATGTTGCTGCATACTGCGGTATGTTTAGTCCTGTCTGGTCTTCTTTAGTTACAATATAAATACTTTGATATGCCCTCATATGTCCAGAGATTTTTTTTAAATTACGTTATGTTTGATAACGCGTGTCTCTACTTTCCACAATTTGAAACAAACCCTGTCTAACCATACAACATACACCATCCTGCGGTCACTGGCTTCAAGCACTGCTGGTAGATAACTTTCGAGAAAGATATAACAATAGTAATTAGATATAATCTATCCCTAAAATCCATATACATAATATACATAAGCGTACGTAAAACGGAATGATGAATATCTCAACGATAACACATATATTATGAAATATAGAACAAACATCGTTTTACCGTTTATTTATAAGTTTGCATTCGATCACTATCTTTATGACTGGCACGCAACTATAATATATTATACGCCTCTAAATACTGATGGCAAAACAATGGTGTAGGCCGGAAACATTCTATGACAAGTATATTAAGATTATAATTATGTTCTCTCTCACAAAATCAAACTGCACTATGAGCAAATTAACCAGCAAAAACCAGTGGTTTTCAGGAACATTAAAAACTGAGATAGGCACTGTACATCTTAAATATGTACTGTACATCTTTGACATGTACTGTACATCTTGAATATGTACTGTACACCTTTGATATGTACTGTACATCTTGAATATGCACTGTACACCTTTGATATGTACTGTACACCTTTGATATGTAGTGTACACCTTTGATATGTAATGTACACCTTTGATATGTACTGTACACCTTTGATATGTACTGTACACCTTTGATATGTACTGTACACCTTTGATATGTACTGTACACCTTTGATATGTACTGTACATCTTGAATATGCACTGTACACCTTTGATATGTACTGTACACCTTAGATAGGCACTGTACACCTTTGATATGTACTGTACACCTTTGATATGTACTGTACACCTTGTACTGTACATCTTGAATATGCACTGTACACCTTTGATATGTACTGTACATCTTTGATATGTACTGTACATCTTTGATATGTACTGTACATCTTTGATATGTACTGTACACATTTGATATGTACTGTACACATTTGATATGTACTGTACATCTTAGATAGGCACTGTACACCTTTGATATGTACTGTACACCTTAGATAGGCACTGTACACATTTGATATGTACTGTACATCTTGAATATGCACTGTACACCTTTGATATGTACTGTACACCTTTGATATGTACTGTACACCTTAGATAGGCACTGTACACCTTTGATATGTACTGTACACCTTTGATATGTACTGTACACCTTGTACTGTACATCTTGAATATGCACTGTACACCTTTGATATGTACTGTACACCTTTGATATGTACTGTACATCTTTGATATGTACTGTACATCATTGATATGTACTGTACACATTTGATATGTACTGTACATCTTAGATAGGCACTGTACACCTTTGATATGTACTGTACACCTTTGATATGTACTGTACATCTTGAATATGCACTGTACACCTTTGATATGTACTGTACACCTTTGATATGTAGTGTACACCTTTGATATGTAATGTACATCTTTGATAGGTACTTTATAGATTATTCAAAAGAAGACTGAGAATTCCTGGTGAGACGAATATGTCTTACTATATGCGCGTTATATCAGTTTCATAACTGCAATAAAATTTCTTGTACATCAGCTAGTTTTTTAATTCTACATATACTGTACATATCATTTATAAAGCAGTAATACTGTGTAGGTTTGTGTATATCTCACATTTAACGTCCATTACTTGTAAAATGTATTTTTGACAAGACATGTGAATTCTCATTGAGGCTCAAAGTGAAATGCGAATTATGATTAAACAATACAATCTAGATGTGAACATGATCTACACTTCCACCAAACGTGATACTCCGTAAAACCATGCAAACTACAGCAAGATGAAATTATACTCAACACATACGTTAATAATGATAATTTAATAGACAACACTACACAAATTTGTTATCGTGGTGTTAACAATGTATAAACGAATCGTATTACTGCAAACCTACTTTATTAGTGTACCAATATTTCATCAACCGGTGGTTATTTTCGCGGTCTACGGATCAACGTTGTTCAACATAACGTGTGGGAATTCGACATTAAGTAACCTTTGTTAACAACCGTCCGAAAAATTGCAGGAATTCGCTGCAAAATGATTGACACCGTTAAAGCAAGAGGGTGTGCAGTAATACTATGATATTTACATATAACACATACAATATATAGTAACATATACAAAATATACAAATATCCAGAACGATCAGTGAAAATATTCGAGGGATTTCAACTTAAACAAAATTAATTACAAAACTCGGGAAATATTTACAATTAACGGAATTTAATTTGGATAATTTAAATCGATTTTAAATATCGAGAATAAATTATGTAAGTAATAAAAAATCTGAAGTGGATTTCTGGAGTATATCAACACTTTCAATCAGCAGAATGGGTTGGTCATATAGAACGCAATTCATCTGGTATCAAATGATTGAATAGTGTTCTGAGGATTTCGTGTGACGAAAAAGACTGTAGAAGTATCACAAAGCACTGCAATAGCAACTAGAGGTAAAATGGGACATAAGTTGTAATATTAAACTGTAAAGTGGTACAGTGTTACATATAAAGTTAAGATTCCCTTGACACAATACAGGAGTTATTCTATACAGTAGGTAGGAAACATAAGTATTTATCTTATAACAATAAACCTGCGATGTCGACGAAATACAAGATCTCTGAAATGTCAGTACAAATTACCTTGATTTAAGTCTTTGCCACGCTGAACCAATAAAAACTGCTACTATATCAAACCAACACCAATGTTGTGAGTTCAATGGATTTCAGAAATGATAAATAAGTTCTCTATGTGTAGCGTTTATCAGGTAGTTTGTGTGACGCTGTTAAAAAGGGAAATAATCAAAGAAATAAAGATAAGTACTGGTTGGACGGTAGAGTCGTAATAGGTCGTGCCCACGTCAGTGCCTACGTCAGAGCCTACATCAGAGCCCATGACCAGAGGATAGGCCGTAGACTGCTGGGGACATCCAGGGTACTCGTCCATCCGTTGGATATGTGGTGTCCAATCCCCGCAGAGTGGAAAATTCTTGGGAGGTGCGGGCATCTGCTCCACCTCGCCCACCTGGATCACGATACTCATACCCATAGCCATGTGGAAAGCTATGTGACAGTGTAGCAACCAAAATCCTGAAAATAAAGATCACCACGTTTAATATAAAAAAAACTTTGAAGTGACTTCCACTAGACTGAACATGCTTAATTGAGGAATAATCATTAAAACATATAATATTTATCAATTAAAAAGAATAATAACAATGTGCTTTTCATAACAACGACCGGGACAACATCAGTACTTGTAGTAATCAGACGACACAATAAAACATAGAAATAGTAATGTATGTTGTTGTACGTGGTTTGAAAATAAGTTCATCCTGTTATTGAAATCTCAAATAAAATACAGACTACAGACGAAGAGTACTTAAGTGAAAACACGTCTTAGTTGAAACATCAACAAAACAAAATTTACCTGGCAGTAAATATAATTAGTTCTCTGCAATATGAATAATAAGATTTAATATGTACCAGGGTTTTTAGCATGGAACCTGACAATAGTGTAGCCACCATCCGGGACATTAACGGTATCCTTGGTGATCGGCCTGTCCAGATTCCTGCCGATTAACCCTATACGGTCACGCATCTTCACATAATCTACACTGGTTGACGTGTTCAGCTGAATAAAAAGTCATTTAATTAATGGTTAACTTATCGATACGACCTATGTTTTCTCAATAAATAAAGGATATCTGATGGTTTCCTGTTTAATATCTTAAACATTTCACGAGTATTACAGAATATCTCATGAGTGGGAAACACGAATGAAAAAAATAAGAGATATGAGGCAACGTTTTTATATCCCCGCATACTTATATACTGATATAAAGAGGCAACGTTTTTATATCCCCGCATACTTATATACTGATATAAACAGAGGTGTGGACGCCGACGACGACGTAAAAGTAGCATTTTAGTCTCCATATTGTTTTTGGTCGTTGCTTATTTCGAAAACAGCTTTGATTTTATCTTATTGTCTCATAAAAAATAAAGCAGTGGCACATACTTCCAAAGAATTTCTTCTTGATGTAATAATTTGAAAAAAAAGACAATCAAACAAAACAAGGAAATACCAAAATATCAACATAATTTAAACTCAAATTCAATAAACCCTGGGCAAATTATTAACGAAAGAAAGATTTACAAGGGGATTCCTGAAAAGTACGAGGAGAATGAGACCAGGTGTTATGGAAGAGTAAGCCTATTCTGCTCCATCGACGTCGACCGCCATGTAAACATAGACCAATCCAAGCAAAAAAGTCACGTTCTCCATTGAGAACAAGGCATACAACAATGGCACCAGCAGGCAAACTAGCATCAACTAGTCTTCATGTGATTTCGGTGAGAATTTTACTTAACAACGTTACTTTTTGCCAATGTCTGTTATAATCGCGAATTTGTAATCGCAGACATACATCAATCGATATAGTAGTATGATTTGATTGATAATGACATGCTTTCGTAATGTTTAATTAGTTAAAACTGTGGCCTATCAATCATTTATTTTGTCTATATAACAAATATGTTAATTGGACAGTTCGAAACCTCATCAATCATTTTGTTACCTGATAATTATAGTAACACCTTCAATCACATACCGTCGATGAACTCGTTGAACGTTAACACGATAGTAAAATTTACATTTTATCTAGAATAAGAAACAAGGTAATGTACAAATTATACAGAATGCTCACTATTCTTTATCTTTACTATTAGGTTATATTAATTGACTGATTTGCAAAAACAATAGGTATTAAACAGACAAGTTGACACGAAATGAGTTGGTTGAACTTAAAGCATAAAATATCGTTAATACTACATTTAATGCAAAACAACTTATTCCAATGAATATATTCATTGTTCACCTAGCACTGATACTAGTATATATACTACTTTATAACAGTGTAGAATTATTAACATCGGTGAGTCAAGTTTTGAATTTGTTTAAATCCTTTGATATTTACTGATGAGTTATTTAACGAGCTTGCGATTTCACTCGAAAACTCTGCTATATAAAATATTTTGTTAGCTTTACTAATTAATAACCGTTTTTCATAAACTTTTCATAGAAGTGTTTTAACAGGACAACATCCAATTACATGTTATGATATTGACAGTAAAGTTTATCAATTTTAACTGCTTAATACCTACTACGTCACAAGAAACATGTTTTTGTCGTGCATGAATCATCATAATTATACATACGTCTAGACTAACTTGAGTTACGCATGGAATAATATGTAACAGGGTCATGTCATACAATGTTGGCTGTATATCTTTGCATTTACCTGAGGTAATTAACCAAATATATTTCTAAGTGATGTATTCGAACTGCTTGTCAAATAGTTTCGATTTATCGAGATTCAAAAGTATCTATTTACATCTCAATCGTGCAGGTTTCATTTATCAAAGGAATGTACTTTAACATGGTATCACTTAATTAATGAAACCCCGTGCAATGGTGACAGGTAATTCATAAAGGTAACCTTCGGATCAGCATATGCATGATATATGAGTAAAACAAAAACACAGATAGAGAAGGAAACTTTCATATATCATTCTGAAAATTAGGAATGCATAAAGCATGAAACGTGAATACTTCTGTGACCAGAACCGTTCGGGCTGCCCGGTGAAAATAATACTTTTACCGATTAATGATTATGTGCTCCGGTTTACTCGGAAACTTAATCATTCCGAAAAATTGACAGTTCTATCAACTGTATAACATATGAGAACGACACAATCAATCAAAACACACAGTACATTGTTTGTTTGGTGTATCGCCACGTCAACAAACATGGTCGTTTTGAGGCGGAAACTAGTGGCTCTTTCAATGAACATTATGATGACAGGAACATTTTTCAAGTCATCCATAGCAATGACAAACGTACAGCGCTTTCATTTAAAAGTATACATTTAAAAAATATCAAAAATAAGCTTCTCTGAAAATAAGTCTGTAGTTTCTCACGTGAATTAATCTGCATTTTCTTCCTATCAAAGAAAATACGCCGCGTCTAAGAGTTTCTAGGATATTCTACACGCCCATTATTGTATGCACCGATTTCCTGTAACTACTGCAGTGTAGGAAGTGCATGTAAATAAATCATTATTTTAACCAACAATTAAATAAAGTGATTGAAGAATCTGTAAATAGATTTGTAAGTTTATAACGGTAAGGACGTGATCATTAGATAATTGTATTAAGTGACATAGCTTCATTTTGTTTGGGTTTTAGTTATAACAATCATTTACAGACGCAGGACAATTATAGGAGTTTAGATGATAACCATTACTAACATTATACCTAAATATTTGTAAATGGTCAGTGACAGACATTAGACACCTGTTAATAAATTTGCGGTTAGAGGTCAGAGGTCAGTGATAGACTTTAGACACATTTAAATAAATTAGCGGTTATAGGTCAAAGGTCAGTGATAGACATTACACATGTGTAAGTAAATTAGCGGTTAGAGGTCAGAAGTCAGAGGTCAGTGATAGACATTAGACACATGTAAATAAATTAGTGGTTAGAGGTCAGAGGCCAGTGATAGACATTAGACACATGTAAATAAATTAGCGGTTAGAGGTAATGTAATTAAGTCGTTCATTTGTGGTAATATACAATTAAGTCAATGAGATGTTAGCTGTAGTAAAATGTATATATCTCACCAGTAAGTGGTAAAAAGTCATTTGTCTGACATGACTACTACGTTAAAACAGCTCGACAGATAATTCACCCCGACAGGTTGTATGTTTACATGGTGTCAATATATCGGGTCACAGCAATCTCTATCCATCAAGTGTCCGCTAGAATACTATTGTAGTCATATCATAAGATTAACCAACCGTTACATATCTAGACAAGGGCATAAAGGTTACCTCTAGTAACTTTAGTGTACTAAAATCGATGTTTAAAATATTCTTATATCAAAATTGAGATTTTAATTCTACGGAAACTTTAATGTACCATTTCATATAATTAATATATTATTTGTAAGACTAAACCGGATGTGATCAGAGACAATCAATGAATTGTGTAACCCGTCTGACAAATACATGCGTCTTAAAACATGGTACAGTGAATGGTATAGAATGACCATCGTAACTTACGTATCTACAGTATTGTTTAAATAGAAAATAAGCTATTTATGGCACTCATACAATTTACTCGAGGTCCGAAAATGGACATGAACGCAGAACTACCTGAAGTCCATGCCCTGAAACTTATGAAAGAATCTAACAATATATTTATATCGACGTTATATCTAATTGATGTTACTTTTGTATTAGGAAAATTTTAACCGTATTTGGAAATTGGAAACTTTAGCCGCAGATGAAGTTTCGCCCTTTCGGAGGTAGGATGAAAATAAATACCAGACTGCATTTTGTTGTTAAAGCTGAAATACAAAAGTGTATATGTGTGGATTTTTTTTCCTATTTATAAGATTTATTTTTATGTAAGGGTGAAAACACACTGGACGAATGTATATCCTCGACCAAATCACCCGCAAGCATATGCCTCATACATTTCTTGTTTACATTTAATACAATAATAATAAATTAAATCGTCATCTAAAACACGATTAACTATAGCGCCAGAGGAAATAGTCAAAATATAACTTATCAAAGTCATCATACTCGAAGCATCAAACATCGGATATAGACACACCAGTTATACAGACGATATTAACATACATACGTTAATAGTTAACACATTTCATTCACCAATACAGACGATGACAAAGCTGTATCTAAGTGGAAAACAAGCCAATGTAAATGTCATTCTAAATTTACAACACCACACAAACTGTTGTCAGTAGATGTCACCCTGTTGACAAGTGATTGACATTACTCTGGAGAAGAACTTACATCACTTTCTAAATATTTGCTAATAAACATCAGGCTTGTTTTATATAATTCTTATTACAGTCTAGAGCATTTCCTCTTTTACAAAATAAAATGTCCGCTGAAAAAAAACTGTAAGGAATGAAACAATAAATGTTCCTTTACAGTTAAAACAAGAAAACAATCCTTATGTATTATACGAAACATAAACAAGATTCCTGAATGACACCGATAACATGATCCGGAAACAAACAGTAAACAAACACATGCACGCAAATCATGAATCAAATGAGACATAAAAACAAGCAGGACTCAAAAAAGGGAATGTTTCACACAAACACTCAGTAAATCAGTAATTACTGTTGCGATAAGGCTTCGGTCACTAATCAAACTTAGAAACAAATATTTGTCAACAATCATATTTCATCCCTTTGTTTTTGTTTTTTGTTTTGTTTTTTATCCCATTACATGTGTCCAACCTTCATTGTAACAAACGAGTTGTTTACAAACTAGCAGGTTTTATGAACGAGTGAAAGGTTAGGTTGAACGAGTTTTGAGGGGAAAGTGACTCGATAAAAAATGGCATTGTCTCGAAATAGCATACCCCAACCAAAAATAAGTCTTAATTCTAAAAGTAGGATTTAGTTACCTTTTCCGTAGCTACGACCCTAAAGCTATGTCCGTGAAGATGCATGGGGTGACTGTTGTCCAAATGTTTACCCTCATCAATTAGGACAAGCTCCACGACCTCGCCGACCTTGACCCTCAATCGGTGAGTGCACTCGCACAACTGCGATTTGCAATCTACTTGGAAATCGTTTTCGTCACAGAAAAATTGCTATAATGTAGAAGAAAAAAAAGAAGTCACAACGACAATTCACTATTTACAGGGTGCATATATAACTACAAAATACTGGAGCTTATAGTAGTGGCAACACGAGAGTGGTAAAGTGACAGGTAATTGGCTCAATTAATTGTTCTGTTTGCTCCGAAATATACGTGAGAGTACCTTACTGTATAAATATAGCGAGCTGTCGGGAAAATAAATCGCCATCTCCACATTGCATTAGGGTGAAAACATTAATCTAAAGAGTGTTCCTGAGAAAGACAAGGTACATCGGTACTCAGAAATAAGAAACATGTAGTATCGTGGTCCGGGAGGTCAGTGGCCTAGTTTGTGGGCAGGTTTTGGGGATTCTTTCAAATTTGTATTATTTCTCATAAATATCTAAGGTTTCATCTAGAAAAGATGTTGAAAGTGGAGTTAGTTATTCATTTCAATCGATTTCTCTCTGGCAATACAGTGAATACCGTGTATAATACACAAGTCTACACTGAGATACAATAATGACAAGGTGTTAACAATTAGTAACACGGAACTCCTGTAAAAACTGGCAGTGAAAACACAATCACCTTGGCGAAGTGTACTCATTAAGAATAATCCTATTATGTAACTACGAGCGACGAGGAAATCTTATTACAAAGTAACATAATCGAAGCTCAGTAGAGACAGACCATCAACGCTAACTAAAACATTCACTTTCAGACGGTCTACATTCAAGATCAATGAAGTAAGGTACCATGTTTGTACAAACACGTTTAGCGGCTTTACAAACAGAACGAAACATATCACAGAAACCAATATGTCTTATTAGCTGTATTTAATTTATAACTACGTCGTGTAACAAAGATTGAATGTCAACAGAACCTCGAACTTAAAATCAAATTATAACCCAATTAAAGATTTACACGGAGGCCGCTGAAAACGTACGTATAAAATATTCATACGATCAATTTCACCATGAGGATTGACGATTAACTCAGTATTGCCATCAAAAGAAGTTATTATATAACACTCAAGTTGTCGCTAATTTCAACACAAAATCGATGGAACAAGGCTGAAAATTCAACAATGGAAATATTGACACGAAGAAAAAGTAATCGAGATTTGATGAAGATGACGATTGCGTACCACAAAACAACGCCATGAACCAAGAGTGTTACCAAGTAAACTTATTGGTTAATCATTTTGATAAATGTATATTTTCCAATCAATAAAACCGCATAATACGTGAAGACCTTTAAACATATCCACCATTTGTTTAAGAAATATCTTGATATATAACGGTAAAATAAAAGAATCAATCCATGATTTGTTAGGCCACTCATCTATTCCATTAATGGTAAACAGGTTCATCGCTTTAGAATCATGTATTAGATCTTATATAGAACCATTCTATAGATATATCTAAACACGGAAAGCTGTCTCTCAATAGGTATGTGTTTAGTATCACCCTTCACCCTGAAATGTGGGGCCCATATTATGAAGCTGACATGAAGAAGAAATGAATTGTAGTGATCTGAATTATCTAATTCATCGACTGAAATGATCAGAGGCAAACGTACAAACATTCTGAATAAGAAAGGTTTTCTGCCATTCTATAAGAAATATATAACAGAAAGCCCTCCGGAAAAAAAGTTTTGGAAGCTAAAAAAGGATTGTTTATCACTAAACCAAAGTAACACCACAAAACATCAGAATGTGAGAAGACAAAGACAAACAAAACACAACGCATATTAAATTCGAACTAGACTGAACTAACAGGGTGATTTAGATCATCAGAACTAGCAGGGTGATTCAGACCTTCATATGAACTATCAGGGTGATTCAGATCTTCATCAGAACCAGCAGTCATTCGGACCTTCATCAGAACTATCAGTGATTCAGACCTTCATCAGAACTAGCAGGGTGATTCACAGGGTGATTCAGACCTTCATCAGAACTAGCAGTGATTCAGACCTTCATCAGAACTAGCAGTGATTCAGACCTTCATCAGAACTAGCAGTGATTCAGACCTTCATCAGAACTAGCAGTGATTCAGACTTTCATCAGAACTAGCAGGGTGATTCAGACCTTCATCAGAACAAGCAGTGATCCAGATCTTCATCATAACTATCAGGGTAATTCAGATCTTCATCAGAACCAGCAGTGATTCGGACCTTCATCAGAACTATCAGGTTGATTTAGATCTTCATCTGAACTATCAGGGTGATTCAGACCTTCATCAGAACTATCAGGGTGATTCGGACTTTCATCAGAACTAGCAGGGTGATTCAGATCTTCATCAGAACAAGCAGGGTGATTCAGACCTTCATCAGAACTAGCAGGGTGATTCGGACCTTCATCAGAACTAGCAGGCTGATTCAGATCTTCATCAGAGCTAGCAGAGTGATTCAGATCTTCATCAGAGCTAGCAGTGATTCGGATCTTCATCAGAACTAGCAAAGTGATTCGGACCTGCATCAGAACTAGCAGTGATTCAGATCTTCATCAGAACAAGCAGTGATTCAGACCTTCATCAGAACTAGCAGGGTGATTCGGACCTTCATCAGAACTAGCAGGCTGATTTAGATCTTCATCAGAACTAGCATTGATTCAGATCTTCATCAGAACTAGCAGGGTGATTCAGACCTACATCAGAACTAGCAGGCTGATTTAGATCTTCATCAGAACTAGCAGGGTGATTTAGATCTTCATCAGAACTACCAGGGTGATTCAGATCTTCATCAGAACTAGCAGTTATTCAGATCTTCATCAGAACTAGCAGTGATTCAGACCTTCATCAGAACAAGCAGTGATCCAGACCTTCATCAGAACTAGCAGGGTGATTTAGATCTTCATCAGAACTAGCAGGGTGATTTAGATCTTCATCAGAACAAGCAGTGATACAGACCTTCATCAGAACTAGCAGGGTGATTCAGACCTTCATCAGAACTACCAGGGTGATTTTGATCTTCATCAGAACAAGCAGTGATTCAGATCTTCATCAGAACTAGCAGGGTGATTTAGACCTTCATCAGAACAAGCAGTGATTCAGATCTTCATCAGAACAAGCAGTGATTCAGACCTTCATCAGAAATATCAGGGTGATTCAGACCTTCATCTGAACTATCAGGGTGATTTAGATCTTCATCAGAACTATCAGGGTGATTCGGACCTTCATCAGAACTAGCAGGGTGATTCAGATCTTCATCAGAGCTAGCAGTGATTCGGATCTTCATCAGAACTAGCAAAGTGATTCGGACCTGCATCAGAACTAGCAGTGATTCAGATCTTCATCAGAACAAGCAGTGATTCAGACCTTCATCAGAACTAGCAGGGTGATTCGGACCTTCATCAGAACTAGCAGGCTGATTTAGATCTTCATCAAAACTAGCATTGATTCAGATCTTCATCAGAAATAGCAGGGTGATTCAGACCTACATCAGAACTAGCAGGGTGATTTAGATCTTCATCAGAACTATCAGGGTGATTTAGATCTTCATCAGAACTAGCAGGATGATTCAGATCTTCATCAGAACTAGCAGTTATTCAGATCTTCATCAGAACTAGCAGTGATTCAGACCTTCATCAGAACAAGCAGTGATTCAGACTTTCATCAGAACTAGCAGGGTGATTCAGACCTTCATCAGAACTACCAGGGTGATTTTGATCTTCATCAGAACAAGCAGTGATTCAGATCTTCATCAGAACTAGCAGGGTGATTTAGACCTTCATCAGAACAAGCAGTGATTCAGATCTTCATCAGAACAAGCAGTGATTCAGACCTTCATCAGAACTAACAGTGATTCAGACCTTCATCAGAACTAGCAGTGATTCAGACCTGCATCAGACCTAGCAGGGTGATTTAGATCTTCATCAGAACTAGCAGTGATTCAAATCTTCATCAGAACTAGCAGGGTGATTTAGATCTTCATCAGAACTAGCAGGGTGATTCAGATCTTCATCAGAACTAGCAGTTATTCAGATCTTCATCAGAACTAGCAGTGATTCAGATCTTCATCAGAACAAGCAGTGATTCAGACCTTCATCAGAACTAGCAGGGTGATTTAGATCTTCATCAGAACTAGCAGGGTGATTTAGATCTTCATCAGAACAAGCAGTGATTCAGATCTTCATCAGAACTAGCAGGGTGATTCAGACCTTCATCAGAACTAGCAGGGTGATTTTGATCTTCATCAGAACTAGCAGGCTGATTCAGATCTTCATCAGAGCTAGCAGGGTGATTCAGATCTTCATCAGAGCTAGCAGTGATTCGGACCTTCATCAGAACTAGCAAAGTGATTCGGACCTTCATCAGAACTAGCAGGGTGATTCAGATTTTCATCAGAACTAGCAGTGCTTCGGACCTTCATCAGAACTAGCAGGGTGATTCAGACCTTCATCAGAACTAGCAGGGTGATTCAGATCTTCATCAGAACAAGCAGTGATTCAGATCTTCATCAGAACTAGCAGGGTGATTTAGACCTTCATCAGAACTAGCAGGCTGATTCAGATCTTCATCAGAGCTAGCAGGGGTATTCAGATCTTCATCAGAGCTAGCAGTGATTCGGACCTTCATCAGAACTAGCAAAGTGATTCGGACCTTCATCAGACCTAGCATGGTGATTTAGATCTTCATCAGAACTAGCAGTGATTCAGATCTTCATCAGAACTGACAGGGTGATTCAGACCTACATCAGAACAGGGTATTTAGATCTTCAGGCAGGGTGATTTAGATCTTCATCAGAACTAGTAGGGTGATTCAGATCTTCATCAGAACTAGCAGTTATTCAGATCTTCATCAGAACAAGCAGTGATTCAGACCTTCATCAGAACTAGCAGGGTGATTTAGATCTTCATCAGAACTAGCAGGGTGATTTAGATCTTCATCAGAACTACCAGGGTGATTCAGATCTTCATCAGAACTAGCAGTTATTCAGATCTTCATCAGAACTAGCAGTGATTCAGACCTTCATCAGAACAAGCAGTGATTCAGACCTTCATCAGAACTAGCA